GCTGCTCTTAAGAGACAGTGTCTGAGAAGTGGGCTAAATGCTCAAATGTTGGTCTGACAGGGCTATGGAACATGCTGAGAGGTTTGTCAATGAAGTTTAAAGCTTGCCAAAATTGGTGAGATGTCTAAGCCCACCTGGATCATGTGTCATTTAGGAGGGCTTAGACAAAATGTTATCTTTTTTCTCTTAACAACGTATCCTTCACAGTGTTGTACTTCTCTTTTCTTACATGGAAGTGTTTTATCCTTGAGAGTAGGAAACTGGCAGTGTCCGGCTTCTGAGGAGATGCCTAAAAAAGGCCTGCTCAGTTAGCAGTCCCTGATGTTAGGAGCAAGAGCTTTACCTGTGGCAACTCTGGCATATGCTGGAAACCATCTTTCTGTCCTAGGTCCCCACGAGGTGGTATGATTGTGCCTCAGAGAAGATTCCATCATCCTTCAGTCAAAGTCCCTGCCCAGCAAAGAGCTAGACTGAGGGGTAGGAGTCAATATGCTTAAAAAAGGAAAGCAAGAGAACAATATTCCCCCTTCTAATACGGATCTTCAAATGCTAAGCTCTTAACAGACATTGACACAAAGATACCACCCATGATTCTCATCTCAAAGTCATTCTTGCATAGGCTAATGTTCATTGAGAATGTTCTAATAATAATAGATAATATTTATTAAGCACTGTTCTACTATCTGAAATCAATCAACTCATTCAATTTTCACATAACTCATTAGGTGGGACTATTATTTCTTTACAAATAATAAAATTGGGGAATCAGGAAATTAAGTAATTTTCCCAACATTATAAAGGTAGTAACCTGCAGCTCCAGGATTAGAACCCATGCAACCCGGCTTCAGAGCCTCCACTCTTAATTATCTATGCCTACATGAATATAAATTTGTAGGGGGGACAACAACTTTTAGGGGTCTACAGTTAGAAAGACTCAAGCTATTCTAGAATGACTTGTCATGTCCTCAAAGTGAGATACTCAAATAAGAATGGGTGTAATTTGGAGTTAATAGATGTAATTAGGACCTTATTGAGCCATAGTTGTGATCTGCTTAATAGCTAAAAGGAGAAAAGGTCTCTTCCTTGTTGTCTAAGAGGACTTGAGAGATTCTACAACAAATATTCTGGTCCCACTGGGAAGTCTTACTCTCCTCTATCACAGTCCTTCCCCTTTCTTATATGGATACCACCTGATTTTTTTTTTAAGAGAGAGATTTTTGCTATAGTGCGTGTTCACTCACCAAAGAGATAGAGACAGAGAGACAGAAAGTGAGAAATCAACCCCCAGAGATGATTGCCGTGTCACAATCCCTTCTCCTCCATTTTCATCCCGGGATTCTGGGCACACACACACACACACACACACACACACACGGGCCTGGTGTGAGCTTTAAGCCATTCGGTCTGGGACTCGAACCATGGACAGCCATGTGGGAGTCCAGTGATGTAGCCATTACACCATCTACTAGTCCCACCATCTGATTTCTTTTCTTTTCTTTTTATTATTATTTTTTAAGAGTTTTTGCTACAGGGTGCATGCGCTCACCAGAAAGACAGAGACAGAGAGACAGAAAGCGAGAAATCACCCCCCAGGGGAATGGACTTGCCACAATCCCTTCTCCTCCATTCTCCTCTCAGGATCTTGGGCATGCACGCACACATGTCTGGTGTCAGTTTGAGCCACTGGGTCCGTGACTCAAACTACGGTCGACTACATGGGAGTCTAGCAACATAGGCATTACACCAACTGCTGATCCCCTCACCATCTGATATCTTAAAGAATAAAATGAAACACTGATTTTTTTTAAGGCCCACTATTTCCCCATAAAGCATTCTGCTCTCTCTGTAAGCTTTTTCTCCCTCTGCTCTTCTGGATAACAGGAGAGACATTTGGGGATGACTTCCATGTATGTTTCACCAGTTGTGTAACCAGATTTAGTCAGCATATCTAAGGTTCCAGATTTGCCAGAGGACATTACTTCTTGACACATAAGGGAAAAGGATAATGTGAATTTCCACTGGGATAACATAGAACCCTACAAGGATCCACAGAACTGCTGTTTTCCTTAATAATTAAAGGCAACACTCCCAGAGTCCTCCTGGAGCAGCGGCATGTGACCATTCTCTTTGCCGCACCAAAGGGTCACAAATCAGAATACTGCATTCCTGTCAGAATGACTGGTTACTGTTTCCCCAAGTACAGGTTCATGTGCAATAACTGACCCCAGAGAAGCAGAATGGCACAGTGTAAGAGCTTGTCACATTAAATGATCAGAAAACCATTACCACTGATAGAACGGTTGATGGTGCAGGAGTGATTACAGACTCTCCCTATGGGCCAGCCCTGAGCTGCCGCCCGTCGTTAAGTGGCTACCAGGCTATCCAGACTTGGGACCAGGACTTGATGACAAGAAAAATCTACCGAAAGGAAAAGGAAATCGGTGGCTTATTTCCTGTAACTCCTACAGCACTTCGAAGTAGATAACAGTGTTAGGATTCCCAGCCTGACTTCCATTCCAATACACTTTTTAAAAATTATTTTTGGTAATAACAGTGCTCTTGTGAGATCTGGGATAAACTGAAATGTCTAAGGTAAATTAAATCTTATTTTACTGGACTGGGGGGATTCACTACTTAAAACACATTCTAGAGTGGATTATCTGATTTTTTTTTTTTTTTTTTTTTTTTTTTTTTAGAATGAAGGAAAAGTGAAATCCTTTGACAAAGAGAAGGAAGACCCTGAATTTGTCTTACAAAAAAATCTGTGGGGCATACGTCTAGAATCTTATATATATATACTGAGAGCCAAGCTCACCCTCTGCTCTGTACCTCTTACTCCTCAGCTCTACCTGAGCAGGTGTTAGCTCAGCCTCTCTCAGCCTGAGTTGGCGCTCTCTGCCTCAGTGACTGTGTGAATTTCCGCTGTAGTCTTTGGAGACTGGTGTGGACCAGAGCCACTGAAGCAGGGAGTATGAGCTTCAATCTCTTCTAGCACCAGACTGGATCTCAGCACAGTGGAAGAGAAATGGCTTCTGAAAGGAATGCTTGGCAGGCTGTTCTTGAACATGAGATTCTGTTTCTGTGTGCCTCTGGAGCCACAAAGTAGCAGCCCCTCAAATCTGATCTTGCCCCTTTGTCACTTCTGAGTGTAGGAATTGTGAGCCAAATGGCTTCTACAAATGGCTGTTCTTTTAACATTTGGGAATCCTCTAGTGCCGAATGCCCCCCAAACCTTGTTTTTGATCTCTTGATATTAACCTAAGCAGGTTACAAGGTTATTGCAGAAGTTAAACATAAATAAACAAATCAAATGACTCTCAGAAGAAGAAAAATGTCCCTCAATACATTTCAAGGACCCAGACTCTAAATCTCACTACTTCAGAGCTAACCATGGCTCCTTTCTAGCTGTGTGCTCTTTTGCAAGTTGCTCAGTTTCTCTGGGCTTCAATTTTTTCATCTGTAAAAAGAGAGCCAGCAGGTGGTGTGTGGTTAAGGTACTGGACTCTCACATGGTCAACCATGGTTCAAGTCCTAATCCTGGTGGCTTGCTTCTCACTTTCCCTCTCTCTGCCTCTCTCTGTGGTGAGAGTATGTGCCCTGTAGCAAATTTTAAAATAATAAATAAAATAATTTTTTAAAAGAAGAGAAAAATTGTCCTGACACAGAGTTTTTTGATTAAATGAGGTAATTTACATAAAGCATGCTAAGTGGTAAGTCTAGCAAGGGATCCCAAAATAGAATGTACATAGGACTAGAAATGCAAATACTGAAAAGGTAACAGTAGCAACCTCTAGATGCCACAAGGATGGGTGATTTTTGTGTTCTTGTTTTTCTGTGTGCTTTTTAAGTTTTCTTCCTTTTATTTATTTATATAGATTTTTTGCATTAGAAATTAATTTGTAATTAGAAAATATGGGACCAGCAGTTAGCATAATGGCTATGTCACTGGACTCCCACATAGACAACCGCGGTTCGAGTCCCGGACCCGGTGGCTTAAACTCATTCCGGGCGCGTGTGCATGCATGCCCAAGATCCCAAGAGGAGAATGGAGGAGAAGGGATTGCGATGTGACCATCCCCTCTGGGGGGTGATTTCTCGCTTTCTATCTTTCTCTCTCTCTCTCTCTCTCTCTCTCTCTCTCTCTCTCTCTCTCTCTCTCTCTCTCTCTCTCTCTCTCTCTCTCTCTCTCTGTCTTTCTGGCAAGTGCACACACCCTAGAGCAAAAACCTCTCCAAAAACCAAAAAAAAAAAAAAGAAAGAAAGAAAAATACCATGGAAAAAAAGAAAAAAAAATCAGCAAAGGGTCTAGGGTTGTCTAAATATGTGGATAAGGTGAGGAGGAAAGGAAAGAGAGGGCTAGGAGGCAACAGTGCAGAGGGATGGGAGGTCTGAATTCATGCACAGTCCTGCTGCTGTTGTGCCTGGCTGATCCCTCCTCAGACTTCCAGACAGGTCTCAGATTTGACTTTCAGCTGCCATGCTCCTGGGGGATGTGCCTAAAGGGCCAGGAGGTGCAGTCCACTTCTCCCATCAAGGCCTGCTGAGCCTGTGGCATTGACCAGGGTGAGGGCAGGTTTGTCCCTGACCCTTTCAGGGCTTCCCAGGCCTCTTCATGTGGGACCTGGAGCTGCCCTTCCTTCCTTTGCATGTCTAAGTAATTACAACTCATAAAATTATCTAACCCATTAGTTAAAACCCGGCCCCAGCGTTTGACTCTGACCTCCTAAGGCAGCAGGAGCCACACGCTGACTCCATGCCTCCCGATTTGTCCTCAATTTATAAGCGGCACAGGCTATAAATAGAAACCCTTTTGCTAAGTTCCCCAGGAGGCATCAGCAGGTTTTCCAGCTTGTATGTTTATTTTCTTTAATAAAAAAAAAAAAAAAAACATGGTAGGCTATTTCTCTGCTTGGTGCTCCTCCCGCATCCACCTCGGGTTCAGTCTGAGGCCTTGTCTGGCGGGGCCTGCCCAGGGTGGGTTCTGGGGAGGTCCCACTCACCTGTAGATCCTGTACCTGGTGGTGAATCCCTGGCGGAAGCGCTCCATGAAGTCGGCGTTGGCCGACACGGCCAGCACCCAGCCGGGCAGGCCCAGAGCCAGCAGGGCTGCCCACGGGGCGGCCGCCGGCCGCCGCCCTCTAAGCCGAGTGCCGCACTGCCACCTCATGCTTCTCCCAGGCGGTTGGCTTCTTCATTCTCTCGCCACGCTCTCCCGCTCGGTGCTGCTTCTCCCCGGGCTGCGGAACTGAAAGAGCACAGAAGAAGGTGTCAGCTGGGCACCCGGTTCTCGCTCACCCCAAGGGCCTGCGAGCACCAAACACCATGGAACAGCCCATTCTGGAAATCCTTTATCCTGGTAGCAAAGCTTGGCTGGAGGCAGAGTTAATCGAAGCATTCGGTGTATATTATTTCATTTCATTCTTAAACCTAGGAGGAAACGCTATTGTCATTTTATAGACATGGGGCTACTAAAAGATGAAACTAGAATTTGAACTCAGGGCTCCTGGCTCTTAACCCTTAAGCTGTATTGTCTCCATGTTTCCTTCCTGGACTCAGCGACAACATCCGTCCTGTCTGCTTCTCTCAAAAGTGTTCAATATATTTCTGCAATTGACACATAAACTGTGTGTTACCTCTAGACCTTGATGTAAGGTAGAAGAAACCCACTTTTTTTTTTCGAGTTTATTTTATTTCTTTTCTTTAAAAAGGGGAGAGAAAGATAGACACTCTCAACAGGGTCTTGTCACAATGGCAGTCCCCTTTCCCCAGTCCTTTGGCTTGTCAGGGTCCTGGGCACATATGCACCATGTATGTTTTAGGGTGACTAGAGATCTGATCCCATGGTTGGCCACATAACCTTTAGTATTGCAGTTTGGCAGGCAACTCCATTTTACAGATGGAGAATTATGGGGCAAAAAAGTAGTGAGGTTGAGAGCCAGCAGTTAATAGAGTGGTTAAGGCACTAGACTCCCACATAGCTAACCGCGGTTTGAGTCCCAGACCTGTCAGCTTGAAACTCACACCAGGCATGTGTGCATGTGTGCTCAAAATCCTCAGAGGAGAATGGAGGAGAAGGAATTGCAGTGTGACCATCTCTCCGGGGAGGGTGGATTTCTCGCTTTCTATCTCTCTGTCTTTATCTGTCTCTCTAGTGAGCACACATGCCTTATAGTAAAAGTCTCAAAAAATAATTAAAAAGAAAGAAAAGAAGAACACTGAGGAATCATTGCATCTCTAAAGCCAAGTGAATTTGGGCAAATTGATTCTCTGGGTTTAGGGTTGCCTCTAGAAAATAGAGAGGCTTGACTAGATTATATCTAGACCTCTTCCAGCTTTGAACATTTTGATCTATTCTTTTATGGAAAGCCATGCAGAGACTAAGCTAGAATGAGAAACCAGGTTAAGATATTGCCATCTTCAGAGCAGATTGGCCCATACAAAAATAGCCATCATGCTCTTTCTCCTAATCGGGTGGCATGGAAATGCCACTAGAGCAGGGGCCTTTCCAGCTGTCCTCTGTTCCAGCTCCTGAGAGCACAGAGCAGGCCTTCAGACACCCTCCTTGAAGAAATGAATGCGTACATGCCCTGCCCTTTCTGATTTGAAAGGAAGATGCTAGGAAACAAGTAAGATCCTGGGCTTTGGAACTCGGGGCTACCTTGTGCCATGTCACAACTCTCTAATTTCCAGTGCCTGCGCTTCATCCAGAGACAACTGGTTACCTTTATGAACCCCTGGGCAGATGCAAGACATGGCTCAGAGCTGTATGCCTTCTTGGAACTGTAATCATTCCTTCCATCTTTAATTTCTAGCATGTGCTGTCAGAGTCTTGCCTATCTCCCCTCCCCAAAATCATTACAGTGCAAGCCAGAATAACTAACTCAGCTCCTATAGCCATGACTTGAGGACTATCTCTGGTTGCCCACACCCAGAGATAACTCCCTGCAAGCAAAGCAGGGGGCGTGAACTCCCAGGCTCTTCCAGACTCCTGTGAGGGCAGGCAGAGCAGACCTCAGCACTCGATTCACATCCTTTCCAGGGTCCCCCAGGGCACTCTGGGATGGCTCCAGTTCTACAAAATCACTAGATTTCTCTTGGATCGATGAGAACGTTCAAGGGCTACATAGAGGCTGAAACCAAGTATGAGCCCAAAGATTGATCGGCCTGACTGTGACAGACCCATTTTTCAGCATCTGCACAGGGTGCTTTGAGAAGAATTGCAGCTCTGCTGGCAGGGATTGAGGAGCAGAAGCTGTATGCCCAGTCATCCCTCCACTCCAGCTGGCAGGTAGTCTCCACCTACCATGTGTTGGGTGATTCTTAGAGGTTGCCACAGTAAGCTTTGCTTTGCTTTGCTTTGCTTTGCTTTGCTTTCTTTCTTTCTTTCTTTCTTTCTTTCTTTCTTTCTTTCTTTTTTTTGGCTTTTTAATTTTTTTTTTTTAATTTGCTACAGGGCACATGCATTGGCCAGAGAGAGAAAGAGAAAGTGAGGAAGTAACTCTTATGGGGAATGGTCACACCACAGACCCTTCTCCTCCATCTCTCCCTCCTTTTGGGATTTTGGGCATGCATGCACATATGCCCAATATGTTTCTCCAGCCACTGGACTTGAAACATGCTGTGGGCCACGTGGGATCTAGGTGCTTTAACCACCATGCCATGGGCTGACCCCTAAGTTTTTATATAGGCATTATAAGTTTACATTTTATCAGGACTCAGAGATTGAACAAAGAAATTGCAGAAGTGGAATATAAACCTAGAGCTGGCTCTCTATTTCCAGATTGGACCAAAGGCTGCCATGCTGTGTAGACAGTTTGAGCAGGCAGTAAGAGAGACCCTAGCTTAATGACCTGGGGGAGAGAGGGACTGAAAGAAGACTAATAAGACATCACCTACCCTACCAGATCTTCAAACATGATAAAATTCCGATAATTAAAATGGGTGATAGTAGCACACAAATTGGACAGGCAGATCAATGAACTAGAATAGATAGCTCAGAAATAAACCTTATTATGTATAAGAACTTGTATGTAAAAAAAAAAGCATCATAAACTAATTGGGTAGAAGAAATAATATTTTATACATAACATTAGAAAATTAGCTCCAGTTGGATAAAAAGTTAAATATGAGAAGTAAAATCCCAGAAAGGAGAATCCCCAAGTGTTCTATAATAGGCGTGCGTTACTTTTAAATCAAGAGGAAAAAAAGTGACTTAAAACTAAAAAGGGAAATCAGCCTTGCACATAGAGAGGGTAAGTATTTTTTTCTTAATGTGGATGAAATCTGATGAGGATGCCCAAAATGTTTCTCATTTAATCATTCACATATTCACTTATTGAAGAAACATAAATTGAGGGCTTCTAAGTGCTGGACACTACGCTAAGCATTGACTGTACAAACGCCAGTTCTCATCACATTACCTGAAACTCTACCATTAGTGATGAATTCCTCTTATAAATTATTGCTCTACTTTTTTTTTAAAAAAAGCATATTGATGGAGAAGAACAGAGAATGTTCACTTTGGAGACTGCAGCTATTTGACACAGAAGGCCAAAGCAGCAAACACAGTAAGTAGAAGTGAACAGACGAGTAGAATGCAGGATTCTAAAACAGCCCCCATTCCAATGTCCTCCCTGTGAATCTCACGTGATCCCTCTCCCTTTAAGTGTGTGCTGAGCCTCTGAGTTTAATGGAATATTGTTCTGATGATCCAGTTATTATTACTCAGTTGACTTTTAGTTAATCAAATAGGAGAGTATCCTGGATGGGCCTGACCTAATCACCCCTTCAGAGAAAGTAAAGTGTCACAGAGACAAGTCCTGGTTGGCCTAGAAGAGGGCATATAACCTTGCTGTGAACTACCTATGGAGACTATACAACAAGGAATTGCAGATGGTTTCTTGGACCTGAGAAAAGTCCTCAGAAAAGATTTAGCAAGTAAACAAGGAATCTGTCATGCAACTGCAAAGAAACAAATTCTACCAACAATCATGTGAACTCGGAAGGTGCTATGGTTTGAGTATGTCCACCAAGATTCATATGTTAAAAACTTAATCTTATGAGACCAACAGGTGGCATGATGATTAAGGTACTAGACTCTCACATAGCTAACCATGATTTGAGTCTCAGATCTGGTGGTTTGAAAATTACAGTGGTTGTGTGTGTATGTGCCCACTCAAAATCCCAGGAGAAGAATGAAGGAGAAGAGATTTCTGTGTGGCCATACTCTTTGGAGGCAGGGGAGGGGATTTCTCACTTTCCCTTTCACTGTCTCTCTCTGTCTTTCTTTGGCAAATGCATGTGCACTATGGTAACCTTAAAACAACAAGTTAATCTCTAATGGAAGTGTTGAGAGGTGGAGCCTTAAAGAGGTGATAAGGTCCTGAGGCCCTGCCTTCATGAATAGATTAATGAATAGATTAATGGCATTGGGCTAGTTATCATAGCAGTGAGCCCCCTATAAAAATGGTAAGTGTGGCCCACTTTCTCTCTGTTTTACACTTGCTTGCCCTTCTGCTTTCTGCCTTCCATCATAGGATGATGTAGTATAAACGCCTTCACCAAATGCCAGCATCGTGTCCTTAGACTTTACAGCCTCTGGAACTATGAGCCAAATCAATCTATTTTCTTTATAAATTACCCAGTCTGTGATATTCTGTTATAGCAGCAGAAAACCAACTAGGACATAAGAGAGCCCTTAGCCCCAGAGAAGTACTGCTTCCCTGGCCAACATGTCATTTTCAGATGTGTGAAATCCTGGACAGAGGATTCAGTTAAACAGTACCCAAAGTCCTAACACACAGAAACTATAAGATAATAAATGCATCTTGTTTTATGCCATTAAGCATGTGGCGCTTTCTTATACAGCAATAGAAAAATAGTGTAGACTAATAAAAGACAACTAACTTTGCCCTCTCTCATTCTGTATAAGGCCTAGCCTGGTGAGCATTCTTCATGCTCCCCTGAAAATGATCTGTTACTCTCTGTGTAAGAAAAAGGCTAGCAAGCAGTTTCTTCAGCAGAGTGATATTGATCATCTTCCCTAACTCAGTAGTCATACCACACCTTCTGTACCTAGTTTATGGACCCCTCTAGGTCAGAGGCCATGTCTTTATTTTTGTAACCCCACCTGATTCACACACTGTCAGTACTCAAATGTATTTGATGAATTAATTCCATGCATTTCATCAAGGGGTGATTGTGAGCCATGACAGCATGCAGCCTTGTCTAGCCATGTGACTTCTT